GAGAGAGAGAGAGAGAAAGTTTTTCATTTTAAATTAAATTAAATCTTTTTCGCGAATATCATCTACTGTCCTTTGTTATTCTTTATTATCTGTACCTATATGTGACAATTCTTTGCACTTTTAGTAATTAGAATGTATTTCGAAATGAATGGTTTTCTACATTTATTATTTTTCTGTGATTGTTATGCACATTTTGTTTCCAATTTGTTTGGATTTTAAAAACGATAAACTCGATATTCTGACGCCATCGCCTTAGGAGTATGACATATTTGTAAATATTTTTAAACGTGAAAGAGAAATACAAATATTACACTGGATACAAATATTGAAATGGAAATTAAAAGCGTAAACGGAGCAGAAGAAATAACAAATCTTTTACTAGAACAAGAAAACCAAACTTGACGATTTATCCTGACGTTGCTCAACGACGAGATCAACTCTGCTTTCGGTCGCTAACGAAAATGTCGTTCCTCGCATCAGTTCTGCTTAAGAGCATGGCAGGGTGATAAAAACGAACTGGATTTTCCGAGACCTCTTTTCCTCCTTGCTCTTTTCTTCGCTCTTCGTACGGCACCTGCGGTGGCAATAATTTGCAATTTTTGTGAAATGTATACGGAGCCGGAGGTAACGTCGGAATCGACTTTAGGAACAACACTCTGTGAAAGTTTCGTGGACCGTGATGATGCTGTTTGCTACAAAGTTGCAAGTTAACCGGCAGGTAACAAAGTTGCCAGTGTTCTAAATATGACGGCAAAATGATCCAACTTTGTTGTATTGTTTTCTTTTAATGACGCTGTTAACGTTTTTACGATATAGTGTTTATAACAATCATTTCATATATCGCTATGTACAATGAGAATTTACTGTAACTACTGTAACTCTGATTGATTATTCTTTCTCTTTTTGAAAATATATATTTACTTCAATATTTTGTAAGATATTTGTGATTTGATTGTAAGATTAAATTTAATAATTATGGAATAGAATAGACATTTTTCTGTATTCATCTATTGAAAAGATATAGTTGCAAAAGAAGATTTATCATAAAGTAGAATAAAATATACGTACATATTGCTGAAGAAGTTGGTGAAAATTATTAATTTAGTTTTAGTTGTGAAAAATTATACGAATTATACGAATTATTTTATGTGATCTAATTATATGTTACTCTACAGAATTCAACGGAAAGCGACGACGCTTTCCAAGAATTAGAAGTAACGATCTCGGTGCTCTTTTCAGCGTCACGTGCCTCGTGAAATTTTAAGTCCAATACGCGAAAGGAAAAACGTCCGTCTTTACGGGCTGAAATCACGCGAACGAAAGTCCATCATCGATCGTAGAATCGTCGTTGAGAAAGCCCGGAACAGGAAATGATGTTCACCAGCGATCGTTTGAAACTTCATGAAATTCTATTTCGAAGTTGGAACTACATTCGATCCTGAGCCTCAGCTTTGCATAAAATGATAGCATCTATACCGCTAGGGATATCACGCTCTTCCAATATTTGATGATGTTTGTGATTATAAAATAATCAGACATTGTTTCGTTTGAGTTTCGGAATTTTTCTGAATGTTTTCAACGCTTGAAAATTTCCTCTGATAATATCATTCATCAGTAAAATAATAGAAATATTATTTTTTAAATATACATTGTGGAAAAAATTTTGTGCTTGAAAGAGATATAAAAATTTATTTTATAAAGTTAATTGTAATATTTTTAAATATAAGTAGTGTTCGTATCATGCAATATTTATGCAAGATTAAAATTTTTAATAATATGAAAAAGACAAGTAATATTTCGTATAAACTTAATAATTATTGGACATGATTATTCATG